CGGAAAAGTATCTGATAGTGGGAGATACTAGAGATCTAATGCGTTGCGATAGACACATGATATATACGCATACACGAGAAGCATCGAATAGCGGAAGAGTACCACGGTAGTTTGTGCCACATGTGCTTCAAATTGGCGAAGTGCGATGAAATAAAGACAAGTAAGGTAAACAAAAGGTTCGTGATATTAATACAAGAAGGGTTTGAAGGCAAAAAGTCTAATTGTCACGTTCGCTAGACATAGAGCCGCACTCTACATCCCACTTCCGGCACCAGGAAAAGCCTTCAACAGGGTTGCATCGTACTTAATCAGCTCGGGGCAACCAAGCTCCGCAATAATCGGGTCTAGAACAGAAGCCAACTTTTGCACAGCGATCAAGACGTTGCCAACTAATCCGCGGAGGACGTCAGGAGCAGCTTCGCTGGCAGCCTGGAACGCAAGGCACATTAGGTTATTACCCTCGAGAAGCGTCTGCGCGTTGAGAACGTTGCCTGTCAAGTCGTCAACATCGACGCCAGTGAACGTGTTTGGCTGGCCAGTATTTCCGCCGATTCGGATTAATTCGGGGTGGGCTTTTTCGAGCGAAAGGGCTTCGGAAGTGAAGGCCAGGATGCTGTAGTCGTCGCCGATGACGCGGCGGTACCACTGTGATGTGTGTTAGCGAATGCAAGCGGATGGTGTTACCGTGGGTACTCACGTTCTCGGGGATCTTCTCTTGCCCACGAGCCCACTTGTAATTACCTTTCTCTCCAGTAACACCCTGGAATGACATGAGTGTCTCGGCATCAAGGTAGCCTTCTGGGTTTTCAGCAGTGTGGTTGGCGAAGAAACGGTAGGTGAATTGATATGTCGCGGGGTTAAGCGCAAGGGCCGTGAGTGGGCCTGAGAAGTAATGTCCATTCGTAGCAATCGAGTGCTTCGTGCGGTCAAGGCGGAACGCGGTCAAGACGGGGATATCAATCCCGTTCTCGCCGAGAGGCATAGAGAGGAGCTGCTCGAAATAGTCCAAGTTGAGAGAGATGGGGTTGCCCCTACGAGTAATGAGTTATGCTGACCATGCAACATGCAGAAGAAACGGGAATGACATACGTTGAGTACAAGTCCCCTCGCGTGGGAGATCCATCAACCTCGAAGCGGTTGTGTGACGCACTCAGGCCTTGTGGTTCTCCGAGAAGGCCGAGTGATGAGGTGACACCGCCTAGGAGTCCACCAGTCTTAGGTTTGCCGCCAATCGAAAAGGAGGTGAGATCACCGGCCATGACGGCGGAGTAGACTGCCAGAAATGCGGAAAGATCCAGGCCCATGCCAAACACTGACTTTGTTAGCAGTCCGTGAATAAGAGCGTAAAGGCATGCAGACCTTCATTGGCGGCCGTCGTCATTTGTGTGATTGTGGAGATGCCATTTCGGGGAAGGTAACCGTGGTTTGCCATCACGTTGATACCAGGACAGGGTCCACGGAGATCATTGGGGCCTGGCGCAATCTGACAACGAAGTCGTTAGCAAATGCAACTACATGTCGCGCATCTCGGTAGGGCTACTCACGTATTTATGGTCACCAGTGACACTGATGCGCTGAGCCTCTGCGTTGAATGCACGTTTGACGTGGGTACCCGATCGCTTACTCTCGAAATCTCTTGAGATATTCTCTGTCAAAGCGGTGATTTCCGCAAGGGTCGCTTCACTGATGTCGCCTTTGAGCATGCTCGCAGGGAAGGCGAAGGTCGCCAATGAGAAGAGCGATGCGCTGCATAGTACTGAGACCCTCATGTTTGCAACAACAAGCTCGGATGTTCGGGAAAGAGTGTGAAGGAAGGACGTGTAGTTGGATTGAGGAAGATGCGGTCAGCGACAGGGACGGATCGTTTAAGTTTCATAGTGGCAAATGAGTGCTGCACATACGTGGGCCGCCATGACTCTCCATCTGACTGTCGCCGATAGAGATGCCAATCCGGGGTCAGGTACCCTCCAGCACAGTCATGACAGCCCGCTTTACTTGCTTCAAATCGCAGGGTGGAGGGCCTGAGCAAAGAGATCGACGTGGGCGTTCTCTCTGCACGCCTTGACCAGCCGTAATCCGCTCGCGCGAGCCATATGGTTCAGTCCGTTCCCGGGTTTGCTAAATCCCGCGACTGGTGTTAAGGAGAATAAAGCGCTCGAGCCTTGCCTAGGCAAGAAGTTAGGCTTGCACTGGGTACATCGTAGGAATGTCGAGCGAGTGTCCCAAGACTTTTGAGCCCTGAACGGCGATCCAAGCGCGCCGGACCGTGTTCGGGTGGGTACCTAGGTAGTTAAGCCTCTAGATCGGCAGCTAGATCTCGCCTTTTTTACCGCATTTGGCTGACCAACGTTGTACAGAGATGATGAACGTTGCCCGCATCGATCAAAAGCGGGTTATCTATTTTCAACACGCGTGAGGCTGCAAGAAGATTGAGTGATCTATGCATCCCGCCCTCGCCCTACTTCCATGCGGCGGAAATGGAGATTGCGCAGGTGAACACCTGGGCATGTAAACCCGCCGGCAATAACACATCGGGCCAAGACGCATCCGAGACCAGCGCATGTGGTCTAGCGGGCATGATGTCTACCTAGGCCGTCGTTCATACGTGCTAGTAGGTTGAAGGTATATTCCTCGCTACCCAAGTCAGAGCCCAACGCAGGGACAACGTCGGACTGAAGATGTTATAGTTTCCAAAAGCCGATCATGGGTGACAAACCACTTTCGGGGACCAATGCAACAAGATCGGTGCATTACCCGGCGTGGGCTCCAAGTAGGGTCGCATGCGAGTTCAAGTCTCGCGCAGAGAGACCCCACTGCATGATTGGCGGCGAACAATGATACCTACGTACTATTCTAAGCGTCCCCACAAGCATATGCCAAGTTTGTACTTCAGAACAGCCCCAATGTTCTAGTTTGCGTTATAGGAGACGGATCTCAGCCGGGTACCCACCACCCAAGGAAAAGGGTGAATACCGGCCACTACCCAGGTGGCCAAATTACATCCGCAACCCTAAGTATACTCGACATCGTTCGATATAAACTGGATCCTTGTCCCACGTCAGCATCGTAACGAAGCACCACAACTGGATCTTGATATAGCGCCAAGGAGCATTCGCTTCAATTCCTTCTCCTTTGCGTAATTCTTGAGTCCAATCCAAATGGCTGCCTACGATTCTTGGGTTAGCAACCCAGACGAGAGCCATGGACCGCTCATGTCCGTCGTCACCTGGTCGCTCGTTTCTGTTTCCGCAGTCTTTCTGTTCTCGCGGCTTTATATTCGGCAGCGTCAAGGGAAGCTGTGGCTGGACGATTGCACACTTTCCGTCAGTTGGGTAAGTGCCACAACATCCCTAAGCAAAGAGCAGCTGACTCATACGACATAGATCTTACTTCTGGTCCAAGTTACCATAAACCAACTGTCTATCAACATAGGCTACGGAAAACATACACTTGACCGTAAGTTGCCAAAGGAGAATTGCACATTTCACAGCTCGGAACGCTAATCTTTACGCTAGTCGATTTGCGCAATCTTGATAAAATGATGTATATCGGCGCGGCGGAACTGACGATATATACCGTCGCTATTGCGCTCAGCAAGATCTCCTTTGGACTCACTTTGCTTCGGTTGACGGACGGACGGGTCAGACTTTTCGTAATCTTTGCGATCTCTACCCTGGCGATTTTCGCAGTCCCTGCCACCGTCATACCATGGGTACAATGCAAACCGCTGGCCAAAACCTTTGTGGACCTCATACCGGGCGAGTGCATTGACAAGCATCCCTCTGTCGTGTATGGGCGTTTCCAAGCTGGTGAGCAGACAGCCTCAAAGTGTGTACCCTGATTCCTTAGCTGACATGCGACGCAGTGTGGTCAGCACTTATGGATGTGTGTCTTGCTGTGCTGCCGTGGAAAATCCTTTGGAATCTGCAAATGCGTACCGCAGAGAAGATCGGTGCAGGTGTCGCCATGAGTCTGGGAATACTGTAAGTTCATGCATTGCCGGATTGAAGACTGCGCTGACCTGGTCGAAGAGCTGGAGTTACGTCAATTATCAGATCCACATACATTGAGAAATTGACAGTCCAGGATGTATCATGTAAGGCATCTCAAGGCGTGCACGGATCATTGCTAACAGCCACAGATGAATCGTACAACTCCATCATATGGGCCGTCGCAGAGTGTTCCATGGCCATCGTGGCTACCTCGATTCCCGTACTTCGCGTCATTTTCAGGCAGGCGTTCAACTCGGCGATGGAAGGCTACACGGGCCAGAGTAAAAGCAAATCAAGATCGAACCCTTCCAACGCTGGGAGCTCGGGGAACCGATTGAGCACACGACAATTGAGCAAGAAGACGCCAGATATATCGGTCAGCGGAGAATCTGTGAAGGAAGTGTTCGGACGTGGATCACGTGGATCCAAGAACTATGTAGAGCTAGATGATTTGGTAGTCGACGAGGCGACTGGGCGCGCTACTGCTTCGTCTCTAGAGTCTCTGGCAAACGATGGCGAGCGCCATGTGCTAAACTGGCACGTGTAGCTTGCTCTGGGATTACCTAGGTAGCGCGCATAAGGCGGCTAGACCTCGAGGGGGCTGCGCGCGGACAAGTCGCATCGGCTCATCAATCCATCACTCCTGCTGCTGGGGGCTGTATTATTCATAAACAACATGGAGTCAATCATACCATCAATCCCGTCATCATAGTGGTGGCTCCAGATGTCGGCAGAAGGCCGAGTCACCGCTCTTTCCAGGCTGTGGGGCCACGTGGTTAGCGTTTTGGCTCGAGCGTCCGCGCGCTCCCCAGGACTGTCCACATGGTCGCACCCGAATGCTCAACCACGCTCGAGAGATCTTGTGCCCTAGGTGCTGCTTGGCTTCCTCGTTCCCATCATGGCCCCGACATGCTGCGCGCGGCTGCTATCCGACATTGATGCACAGACGGAGTGCAGCCAGGAAGCCACTTCCCGAGATGGCAAATTCTGCCCATTTCATGCTTGGCAATGCCACGGTAAGCAGAAGTCGCTATTGTCGTAGCGTTTCTAACACTACGCAGCTCTCTACCAGGGATACAAGCGGCGAAATGGCCTCCTCGACTCATTGGAGCTGCCTGCGTACCTCGCAAACACTACCAGATCCCTCATCGCCCAAGACTTCAACGATATCACGCAAACAACAGCAATCTCTGAATTACAGAGATATCTATTTCGAAGATACACTCTGCTCGATCGTGTACTCCGAGCGCGCAAACTGCATCATCGCCATTTCTTTGCAATGGACAATAACTATGGTCACACGGTATATCTGGACCAACTACAGAACAAGAAATACGAGACGGTGAAGGCTCTCGAGAAGCTTGGCAAACGAGCCGCCGCAGTCGTTCATGAAGAGCAGCGGTGGCATCACTGGGTGAGGGAATGTCAGGAGAAGGAGGAGGAACAGGCGCAGAGCGAAGCAAAGAAGGTGAAGCTGGAGTTTCAGCTCTTTAAAAGATACGAAAAGGAACTCGATCGTCGTCAACGGGACATGCGATCTAGAGAGATCAAGAGGCGCGAAGAACAGTACTTGAACCAAGTATATGCAGAGCGCGCCCAGACGATGTCAAGGGAAGAGGAAGAGGAATGGGAAGAGCAGTGGGACCCCATTCAAGATATTTATGGCTACGAAAGAGGTCGCTATGTCGAGCTCATCAATATGTTTCTGATGATCAGTGAGCAGGAACATGAAGACTATTGCGCAGGTGTGGAGGCATCTCAGCTTGATGGCCCTGCCGCACCGACATCTTCGCACCAAGCCACCGGACAAGCCGCGACGGGCAAGAAGTCCATCATAATGGAGACCAAGGAACAGATGCGCAGGAGACTTCAGACGCCTGTCAACTTCGAGCGCGCGCCAGGCCAATATCTTCCTGAGTTTTTAAGCCCAAGGACGACGACTCCCGTAGTTCCTCACGACGAGATCGAGACGCTCTTGGATGAGATTTGTGAGATCAAGAACTTTCTCTTCTGTCGACTTCTTTTGGCATCAAGTGCACTCCTGCCTATCGCACTCCAGGCCGGCAGCATAGAGGAACTCCTGCAAAGCGAAGGTGTGACAAGGGAACATTTACGAGATGTTTGCCTCAAGCTGGAGCGTCCCAGTCTTGAGAACATGCGAGACGCGTGTGCGGACTTCATGCGTGAAAGGGATGGGGCTGATGCACCAAAAGACATTGCCAAAGACCTCGCCCTGATGGACATTATCGACGCCCAACAGCGAATCCAGATCAGGGTCTGTGGCCGCCATATGTACTACTACCGTAACGAGCGCGCTCTCAACCGCAGCGGCTGGTTTCACTTCTCTATCATCGCGAAAGACTCCGAGCTCGCCGATGCCGTTGCGCTTTGTCGAAACTGGGAAGAGTTCTTCGAGCTCACGATACTGTCAATGTATCGGTTGTTCCCGGCTCCAAAGTGGACGAAGTTTGTGGGCGATGTGAATCGTCAATGCCTCCTGCTTCTCGGTTTCATACCTTATTTCCAAGTCGACGGCGCCGAAGCTAAAACGACGCAACATAGGATTAGTGGTCGTGCTAGTTCGGGACGGTCGTTCGATTTTAAGGAATCACGCAACATCCTCTGCGGTATCGTCAAGCGTGACGATACCCTCAATCGTCGATTCCTTGAGTGCCTAGCAATGGAGTCGGCCGACCTTCGTGTTTTGGTTCATGATCCGGTGACTGGCAAATTCGTAATCCAACCACCAAAGGAGGAGTTTTGGCTGAGCCGCGAGAAGGCCGGACGTGGCAGGTCTACAAAACATGAATACACCGTCACAGTTGAGGTCGATAACGCCTTTTTCGAACAGGCCACCGCCTGCAGGGCTTGGTCGTTGAACTTCAACGATTATTATAATGTTTATATCTGGGATGCACCGCCCGGTCGGAGTGCAGATGAGCTACAGGGCAAAATACAAGAGGTCCGTAAAGTGTCAAGATATCTACTTTGAAGGAGCTAACAATGACAGGCATTTTTACGTACCCACAAATGTAGGAAGGGAAAAGACATGCTTGTCAGAGTTCGGCACATAGTGCAACATATCACAAATGATCGTGAGAATAGACGTGTTCGCAGCATTCGGCCTGGAGAGAATGTTCCTAGCATGCTCGATGACTTCGAGCTTGGCGCAGAAGCTTTTCCCATCCCGATTGATGAGATATACAAGGAGCGATTCTTCACAGAGATCGACGAAATAGAGGATGCCCTTTTATATCCAAGGCGCGCACCTGGCGACAAGTCGCAGCCACCCTTCCCCCGAGAGATTGTTGGGAAGATACACCGGAGGACAAAGTGGAAGTGGTGGAAAATTGCCAGCGATGCCAGCACTGATGAAGAGTCATCTGCTTCTGATGAAGAGTCATTTGCTTCAGACGATGCATCCGAAGCTAAATCCGACGAGGGATCGCAGAAAATGAACGATCCAAGAGCAGTGTTATTGCGGCGCATGTTGGCGAACGACCCTCATGTTAGTGTTCTGGCCGGAAAAGCGATTGACAAGCTCCCTTCGAAGAGAGAACTCGACGCATTCGGTAATCATGGAACGCTGATCCCACAGTTTCAATGGGCGGACAGGTCACTGGGTTACGATCATTTCTTACCTATGTTTGACCGTAAACGTGCTTCTGTGATACCAAGCGAACTCAGGGATTCTCCTTCGAAGCTTATGGACACGCTAAGAACGGCTCTACGCCGTCAGCGAGAATACGATATCCAAGGGAAACATCTCATTCGAGAGCTGTGCGGGAGCCATGGGCAACGGTCAATACACAGGGGTGAGTTTATCATCGCTTAGAGTGACACCAACTAACAGTTGCATTCTAGTTGAGAAAGAGGCATTGCACATGGGCGACCTGGAGCCCGGTGGCCTCGGCCGGTATATGGAGCACAAGTCCATGGTAACGGCCATGGACAAGTTTGTCATGAGCGACATCAACACAGGCCCGTTCGAGCTCTGCAAGTTCATGCACATGGCACCTCTCATCCAAAGTGAACGTCGAATCGTTGACGAGGCTTTCCAGGCTTACGCCGCCATCGCCTTATTCTACCAGACGGAAGAGTTTCTTGCTTCCGAGCACGGCCTACCATTCCGGTCTTCCCTGCTGTTTGACCAAGAAGAAAGAGCTAAGCGAACCCCTGATCGAAGAAGCCATGTCAGCAATCCATATATGCCAGCAGAGTTGTGGACAGATCGAGATGAGCTCCTGAGACGCAATCAGCGAAGCAAGCTTGATCCTGTCTACGATATTTACCCGATAGAATGGCGTAAAAGGATACGTACCGTGGTTATGACCTTGTACAAAGCCGGCATCATACAAAGTGCTTACACACCCCAAGTTAAAGGTGTTGCAACTGCCGCCGCCGAACCCAACCGCGCGCTAGATTTCTACCTTGATTTCCGAGCCCAATCCAGACCTAAATTCAAGGCTGTCTTGGCGGATCCTACACCCTTGAATCGCGACTACATAGTCAAGGCGGCAAACAAGTTCGCGGCTCAGCATGGCTCTGCCAGGTTTTCGGCGCTGCGACTGTGGTCTGCTCCGCACTTTTACCCAATGCAAGCTAGTGGGAATGAGACATTCGCAGACGATCGCGGCAGGTACTGGGCTTGGAGATACATGCCTAAGGACTCGCCACTCAGTGAGTGGAACACGCACAAGATCGTGAGTGACATGATGGAGCAATACAGACGGATATGGGGAAACCAGGTGAGAGTTGCCAGGGATCTGATCCTGGTCATGGGCAAGGACGCAGACGAGTGTCGGAGGCTCAGTGAAGGGGTGACGTGGGCTACGCAGACGCGCAGGGTGTATGAGATGGACTTTTGGCGAAGCTTTGTAAACGTAGACGCCGGCTTCCTGGAAAGGTTGCATCCTGTATGGCTTTCGTAGCAAGGCGAGCAGACAGCAATGGCAGCTCCTGACAGTTCCTGATGCACTATCTTGTCGGTCAGCAGGGTGGCTTGGCACATGCCGGAGCGGATGTACATGTACGTGTGTTGTGCATGGGAGAGCCCCCACGGAGCGCTGCCTGAAAGGGCAAGGCGTGTGTGGGAAGCTGGGCGGGTCGAAAGCGTGCGAGGGCGGCACCCTGAGCGCTGCCCCTCATGACCGGCGGCGGAGGCGATCAAGCTTTGCGACGCTGGGCGCCGGCCAACCGCCCGTCAGCCCCCGAATGCGGCGCTCCCGTCACCAGGTACGCGACGACTGACCTCTCCGCCCTCTACCAGCACGCGAAGGCGACCGACGCCAGCCCGGCACATGCCCAACGCGGAACTGCAGTCGATGCTTCTCACGGCCGACGCGGGCCTGGCCGAGGTCCCCGGCTGCACCAGAGAGCAATTGGACGCCCTGGCCCGCAGCGTCGAGCTGAGGAGGCAGCAGCTCGAGGCCGACATCCGGGACTACATCGCGGCCAAGCAGGCCGAGCTGCGCAGACATGGCCACGAGGTAGGCGTCCCGGCCCCTTCTCTGCGTGCCGTGAGAGACTGATTTGGGCCTAGCTTGCAGACCGGTACCGCGACATGGCAGGCGGCCAGCAGCCTGCGCCTGCAGTGCCAGAGCAGAGCTGCCCAGGGCCTGCCCCGGGCCCTGCTGCACCGCTCGACCCGGCGCCCGACGACAGGATGCGGCTCAAGAAGCACACGCGCGTGCACAAGCGGGAGCGCGAGCTCTATGGACTCGTCACGCCCGTCTTCCTTCCCTTGCTCGATGCGCGCGACAGCTCGCCCGAAAAGAAGAAGACGCCAGCCGCAGGACATGCTGAGCACGCCCGAGACACCGCGGCCATGGCGCTGCGAGAGCCAGCCCAGCTGAAGCTGCCAGCCAAGAAGTCTGCGCTGCGGCACAAGGACACGCCTCGATCGCGCCGGAAGAGAGTCAGTCTGGTCATCCATGGCCAGACCGTCCTTCCCGCAGACACCGTCGCCGAACCACCTCTGGCTTCGCCCAGCAGCGTCGCAACATCGGCTTCCACCTCGACCGCTTCGCTCGACGACATGATAGATCCGCGACTCACCACCCCGGACCCGCCAGTCCATGTCCTACCTCTCCCCATGACCAACGCCATCAACTCGGCTTCCAAGCTCCTCTCCGAAGCCCCGACACCCATATCCGTCGCCGCCGCCCACATCCCCCCAGTTGCCTCCCCACGGTCCCCCAGCATACCTTTGGGCCCTCCACAGACCGCGACACCCACATTCCTCGACCCTTCGCCCGCTCTGCACCAACACATCACGCAAACGATCCCGGACACCGCAGGTCCAGATCCCATCTACTCGACCGCACCAGCTACGAGTGCTGAACTCGAAATTGACGACCTCGCAGACGACGACACGAATTTCGATACTTACGTCGGCGGCTTACACGGGAGTGGTGTTGACGATGTGGATCAAGCGGGCAGTTACGGATATCCGAGTAGTCTGGGAGCCAGCTACATGGAGAGCTATATGCAGAACCGACCATTGAGCGTGAGGATGCAGGCTGCGAACAAGGCGGGCTTGGCTGACGAGGAGAAGAGGAAGCTGCTCGAGCAAAGAGACGACAACGAGGCCGAGGCTGAAGCTGAAGAAGAAGAAGAAGATCACAGCAACAGCACGAGTGCGGGGCACAAGGCTGTTGACGCAACCGAGGACAATTTCATGGGAGATATGGACGACTTCTGAGATTGGATGCCACATCCTTGTATATACGCGCGACCTTTCGATCCTTACGCAATCTTGTTTGTTAGACACTAGGCATTTCATGTACACGACAATATCTACGGACCCTTTATACAGCCCTGTTTGGTTTACTCTGGCTCCAAGAGATACTCACACTTTAGTCCCGCTGGCTAACCTGCTGAACTCGATTTACGACTCTATCGAGCAGGCTGACCATCTCATCGCTCACGAATCTGGGGTCGTCTTGTTGGATAAAGTGGCCACAGCGGACAGCTGTGATGGGACCTATGGCTTTGCCTTCGTCCGTGATGCGACAGAGACCTTCGTTGTAGCGACGCCAAGCGGGGTTGGCATAAGTCATGGTCAGAATCTTGGGTGTCTGCATTGTACCCTCGTCTATTTGCCGGGTTAGTCTCTGTAGTCCAAGCGTCGACTTGGAAAGAGACAGGTACGTACACGACTGCTCGGCAAACGTTTCCCAGTCATGACCTACGACTGTGAGGTACGGGCCTCTGCCCAAGTAGCCCTCGAGTTTTGGTGCATCTGCGTAGGGTAATAGTTGTGGCAGATTACGTCTGGATAACCCCTCTTGACTAGGAACGTCGGGATGGAACATTCTTCTATACTTTTCTCTGGTAGCTCGTACTTCGTCTTGTGTGACACCTTCGGGTAGTGTGTGCGAGTTGAAGTCTGGTGCATCGGGGTCCGGCCACAGGTCTTGGTAGTCCGAGTTGGCCATGATGCTGTCCAGGAACAACAGACCAGATACGGTTCCTGGATAGCATTGCGCAAAGAGTCTTGCAAGTGCGCAGCCGATGCTGTTGCATACAAAGATGAGACAGGGGTAGTGCGTAGGTTTGTTGACGTCAAGGTGTTCCCTCCAGATTTGTAGGGTAAATTGCTTCAGTGCTTTGACTGCAGATATCGCGTCGTGTCCGTGGGACGGGGGTGGTTGCTGGTCGTCGGGATCAGGATCTGAATCTCCTTGACCATATCTATCGTAGCTCAACAGAGCAGGATACGGTAGACGCCCCACTATTCTCTTTTCCAGAAAGCTGCGCATGGCAGGATCCCATGAGCTTCTTGGCATCATGAGCCCGTTGAGGAAAACGATGAGCGTTTGCGAGAAAGGGTTCGGATGGCCGCCGTGAGGTTTGGATGCAGGGTAGTACGTGTAGTGCAAACGTGCACCGGGCTTATTGTCCAGTGCCAGTGAGGAAACCTCGGCATCCGGAAATGGTGGAAGGTCATCTTCGGATGAGTTCATGCTACCGGGGAATGGAATCGCGTAG